CCTTCCTTCCTTCCTTCCCTCACCGTGCCGGGACCCTTGCCGGCTGCAAGGCAGGAGTTAAAGAGCATCATCATCCCGAGCCGTTTCCGTAGTCGGGGAAAAGCGAGATAACCCAGAACCTCCGAAAACCGTGTGCTGCCTGCCGAGCACAGAGGGATTTGGATAGCATGAGGCGGTGTAAGATCTCTGAAATGCCCACTGGAATGCTTCAGCGTGAAGCATTTGTCTGATTCCATCGTGGTTCCTTGCAGAAGAGGAGGTTTGGTACCCCACGGTCCTGCTCCACCACGGACACCATCTCTGACAGCCAGCACCACTATTGGTAGCATCCCTACTAGAAATATCACTAATAACACTACTACCCAGTGGAGAGATTCCACTTCTTCCTGTGGAATGAAATGGCCTTTGAGGAGAGAGACAGGTTTATTGTAATTATCATCTAATCAAATGAGTTTATTAGAATTCTTAATCTTAGTTGGTGCAGGGTTGAACAATTTTAATTGGCACAATTTTAAGATCATCTTTAAATGCCTCCTTCAATCCAAACCACCCAATGATTTTATGACTTCTGTTTTTTTATTAAACATAGTTTTAACACCTGACTAGCACATCGCACTGAATTTCAGCTACACAGAAAATGCTTCTTGTTTGTGATCTTGAAGGATTATTTTTACCCTGGGTTCTTTCTCACAGTGGTTACGGAGTGAGTGATGGGCATCTGCTGCTTGGATGATCACGGGCAGCCCAGGAAAACACAGCTGGCATGCACCAGTGGCTCCACTGGGTGGCCAGGAGGACATTGAGGTGTGGGTCCTGGGCTGAGCACTTCCCTTGGGGATGGAAAGCCCCCAGATTGTACTTTTTTGCAACACTTGTCAGCAGCCTTCATCTCTGTTCTGCTTTAGGAATCAGCCTGGAAGCCCAAATCCAGCCAGGGGTCCAGGTTTGCCCTGACTGCTGTCAATATCAATGAGTGAAAGAGTGCAAGATTTGTTCCAGGTAAGGCAGAGGAGTGCAGGAGCATGGTTACATCCTTCAGATCTGATCCTCCTTTTCCTCAGCATCACAGCCACCCCACACTGGTGATAGCGAGTGGGGAGAAGCACTGCCAAACGAGAGCTCCCACAGGTACCAGCACACAGGCAGGGGCAGGGCAGAGGAGGGTGCTGCCACACTGTAGGGTTTCCAGTGTTCCCATCACCTTGTGCTGCCTGCAGAAGGGAGGGGCAGAGGAGGGAAAGGGGGATTTTTTCTTGTTTCACCATAGGAAGGATTTTCAAACCCTATAAATTCACTTTTGACAAGTGAACAGCTAAAGCAGATTAACCTTTTTGCTAATCCTCTATAATGGCTTTGGAATCTCCTTAACCAATAAGAAAATTATAAGAACCTGTTTCTTTTCTTTTTATCTATATCTATATTGTCCTCTCTTGTCTGCATGTTTTTTCTTTCTTGTTTTATTTTCCTTTCCTTTTCTAATATGAAATAGCCCAGCGATCCTATCTCCCAGAGGCTCAGTAAACAGTACATCAGAAATCCCTTTCCTTTATTCCTCTCTGGTAACAGGGTGCAGAGAAGTGTCTGCCGATTGGGATTTGATTACCAGCAGCTATCAAAAGTCTCTTTGTACAATCTGGGTCCTAAATCCCATAATTCTTTGATAAAAGAAGTATTACCAGTCCATTTTCTGTAGTGAAAGGTATGGGAGGAATGAAAGAAAGCAATCAGTGGAGATCCTAATAGGCTAAGTGCATGTGTGGTGGGAAGGCAGGGCTGGGACAGGATGCCCAGGGAAAGGCATCCTTTGTTAAGGATGGGGAAGGAGAATTAATCCTCTTCAGGCATATGAACAGAGCTGGTCAGATCCTCCACCTGCCCTATGGCCCCTCTGGACCAGCACAGAGTGGGGAGCAGAACCTGGCCCCACATCCACTCCTTGTGCCAGCGTTTGGGTACATGCATAAAAACTGGGAGCTTTTGTGATCTCTGGAATTAGGGCATCCCCAGTGCCTCTCTGGAGCACTGACACCTTGGCAGGGCAGCAGTGAACGTGTCCAGACCGAACAGCCACAAAGGTGTCTTCATCTCAAAAGGTAAAGATTCGCAGAGCTCAGTTATAATCCAAGTTACACCACTGGAACAGCTGAAGCAGAGGCAAATAAAGGGATGGAAGGAAAAGCAGCAGTTTGGTTTTAGGTGAGTCACAAGTAGAACAGCTACGGGACGTCTCTTCCCAGCACTAAGGGACCCGCAGGTGAGGAAGGGCAGGCAGTGAGCAGGGATGAGGAGAGAAAAGGGAGCTGAGAGAGGCTCTCCTGGGGACTGGCTGTAAGTTTTGCAGGATGCTGGGGGCATTGCTGGGCTGTCCAGCATGAGGATCTTTGGTGTGCAGTGGTTTCACAGCACCACCCGTGTGTCTCCTTGGTGTACCATGGGTGGGACTGCAAGGAAACACCAGGTGTGAGTGCTCCCCATCTGAGCTCCTGAGGCCTTGCTTCTCGCCTTGGCTTAACCACACTGAGAGAAAGGGAACTTGGGTTTAAACTTTGCTAAGCAACCTTATCTTAACCACACCTTCTCTATTTTATTCCCAGCTATTCATGTCAGTTAAAAACACAGGGTCCAATATGTTCTCTCCTCCTGTGGATTGCAGCTTCCAGACCTTGCTGTTTGCCCAGGGGAGGGGGCAAAGCCAGGCCTCCCTTCCTGTCCTGAATCTTGGCCATGGCCTCTCCCCAGTTTCTTTGGCTGGGCAGGAGCCAGGAATTGAACGGACTTTGGGAAAGCCTGGCTGTGGCACTGAATCCACACTCGTGCCTGGATGGCTGTGGGACCTCACTGAGAGCACACAGAGGCAGCAGCAGCAACAATCCCCCCCTTCCCTTCCCCACACAGAGCATGGCTCAGCTGCATGGGAGGCGGTTACATGCCACTAAGCTGCTGTGCAGAGCTGCTGCAAGCAGCTCGTAATCTAATTTATTAAGGTCTTTGAATCCTTACAAAGAGTATGTTGGATACATGCAAAGCATCTGCATTATTACAATGATTAGGGCAGCAGACATGGGGGAAAGGGGAAGGAGGGAAAATACGATTTCTCTGCTTTCAGCAGAAAATGAATCGACTTTCACAGAGAATTCTGGCAAAGCCAAAGGCTGTGTTGTCATTAAAAATTATTTTTTATTAAGCTGAACTCTCTCTTCTCTCATATTGTATGATATGACAGCTCTCTTTTGATGGGAAAGCTTTCATTTGGCCAGAGAAAGGGATAATTTGCTTCTTTTAAGGAGTTAATCCTCTGGTCCATTTCCGGGCTGGGAACAGCTATCCTCCCCCTTCCTTGGATAGGAGGCTGCTGCACAATGGAGATCATAACCACCTCAAATCTACACCCGAGATGGAGAAATCAGATTTCCTTCTCCAGTCATTTTTATGGGATTAGCTAAATCTTAGATCCACACTAACCCTTCACAAAGCTGCCAAGATTAGTTAGAATTTATTTTATTTGCAGGGGGGTTTTACGGTTTTCTTTCCAAAGGGATTATATCTCTCTCTATATATATATATTTAGAGTGGCTTCAGTCATAACACAGCTAGGTCAGAGGGAGGAAAAGAGTGTGTGTGTATAAAATAAAAACTCAGCTGTAAGCATGACAGCCACTTGAAATGCCAAGACAAAGCTGTGGTTCTGGATGGCTTTGCCAGTCCATTTTAAAAGCCACATGAGCTGTCCTTTCCCTAGCAAAACCCCACTAGGGAGCCAGTGAAGGGAGAGCACAGCCCCCAGCTGGGCTGCCTGCTTCCCCAGCCGCTGCTGGCACAGGATGTCTTCAGAGCCAGCGCCAGGGGCTGACGCCGGCAGGAGAGGCCTGAAGAAGCCACGTCCGTTCAGCATCGAGGACATCCTCTCCAGCCCCGTGGAGAAGAGCCCCCAGGTCTTGGTGCCGCTGTGCCTACGGAGCATCTTGGACTGCACACCCAAGCGGCTCTGCGAGCTGGAGACCATCCCAGCCAGCTCCCTGCAGGAGGAAGAGGAGGAGGAAGAGGAGGAAGAGCTGGAAGGGGCAGGCTGCAGCTGCTGCTGCTGTTCTCACACGAGTGCCCGTTCCCAGCAGGACCTGCCGGCTTGGCTGGGTGAGTGTTGGGTTTGGTTCAGGTGTGGGGCTTGCAGAGGGGCTGGTGCCAGTGCTGTGGGCAGGGGAAAACCTGGGTGTTAAGTGGCAATATGGCATCTGGCCACGGCGGTCTTGGGCCTGAGGCCCAGCAATCTGAGCTGTTCTCAGCAGGGCTCCTAAGAGTGCTGCTAGCGTTTGAAAAGCAGAGGGTGCCGATTATTACTGGATATTTCTGGTTAGTGTGAAACTCTTGAGAGAATGATACTTCTAGGGGTTCAAGCTCTTTGTGTAGAGTGGAGCTCCATGTGCAGAGCTGTGCCTGTGCTTCCTGACAACACCAGCCCTGGGGAACCTCACTTACCCTTTAAGGAAAAGGGTTTTGGCTATGTCAAGCAAAATTACTGTGGAAAATAAAAAGTAGCAAACCCTTAAAAATGCAGTTCAAGAGCATCCTGAAGGTTCAGAATTCCCTTGTGTCAGGGCTGAAACACAGATCTTTGCCGGGCTGTGAGTTTGCAGTTATTTTCTGGATCTGACCATAGTGCAACTGGTAAGTGAACAAAGAAAACCCAGCCAGTGCTCACCACCTGCATCCTTCTCCATGTCATGCCCCAAACTCTTCTCCCACGTGCATGGTGACCACTCAGCTTGCCACCCACTCCAGGTGACTGGCTGCCTCCTTCCAATCTGTAGCAGGGATGCAACAGGTGCCTGAGCTGCCTTGAGTGTGGCGAGTGTTTGAGCCCCACACCTCTAACACTGCTGTCCCTGTCCCCTCGCAGATGCCCGCTTCCCCTGGCCCCTGCGGCTCTTCCACCCGGCAGTCAGGGTCTGTAGGAGCTCCCAGGAGAAGCCAAGGGAGCTGCAGACCTTCCAGCAGATCCAGCGCCGCACGCGCCGGCACCGCACCATATTCACCGAGGAGCAGCTGCAGGCTCTGGAGACGCTTTTCCACCAGAACCAGTACCCAGACGTGGTCACCCGCGAGCACCTGGCAAACCGCATCCACCTGAAGGAGGAGCGGGTGGAGGTGAGGTTCTGCCACTTGCTGAGGGCAGGATTCTTGTGTTCCTGCAGTCCCCAGGAACACAGACTGGGGCATTGTGCTGTCTTTTTTTGGGGGCCTGCACACTTATGGTCTCATTTTAAAATCCATCTTGTGCATTTGACAAAAGAGAGTTTAAGTCTGGTGAGCAATGGATGAATATAAACCATTTCAGCTGGGCTAATTTGTACTGGCATCCAGTCCCACAGACTCACATGATGCCTCTCTCCCAGAATCACCTGTCACACAGAGACATGCCCAGCTCTGCTGCTCATCCCCTGCACCCAAGTCTGTATTCCTTACATAAGTGACCTGCGTGACTTCTGAATTTGTCATGGGGGGTCCCAACTCCTTTGTGCCCCTCACACATACCCAAGAAAGATTGCAGCAGAGGGACTGATTACATTTTGTATCAAGCCTTTCTATTACAGTACCTCACAGCCCCGGAGGGCCACTGCCTGTCCCCCTCTCAGTAACACCTGACATGCAAAAGCCCTTTTCTTGTTTTGCACTTTCTAGGTTTGGTTTAAAAATCGTCGGGCGAAGTGGCGGCATCAGAAGAGGGCGACTGCCTCTGCACTGACCCTCCAGCCCAAGCAGCCCCCCAAGGAGAGCTGTTAGTGCTCACAGGCTGCAGAGAACACCAAGAGCACCACTGCCGTAGCTGACAGGCTCAGGGGGGTAACCCGAGGGGGCTAATGCAGCAAAAAGGGAACCTCTGTGGTTCACACAGGAGGAGGACGGGTAAAAGCACACTTTTTGGCACTTTCACATGCCTCTTCCAAACCTAGTTCACGTGGCAAATAACTCAGCAGGCAGGATGTGCAGGGGACAGAGCTGTACTAGTGTTAGATGTGTGTGCTTTAAGAGAAGGAGAAACTCCCCTTCGTGTCTTTACTCTGTGCACGTAGTATTTGTGCTTGTTTTATTGATGTAGATTTGCAAAATATCCTGCAAATGAATGTGTCCTGTTTGCAGCACCTCAGTGGCATCTAGAGTTGCTTTTGGGGTTGAACTTGCTGGACAAGCGATTTGTTTCATAACAAAGAAACACGGGTTTCTTCCCATAGCCTGGGGAGAGGTGATGAACGTGCTGTGCTGAGAGGACTGGCACAGGCAGCCTTCGCCTTCAGCCCTGCTGCCAGCCAGTCCCTGTCACAGCGAGCCGTGTCCGTGTTCCTGGCGGGGCCAAGGAGAGGCCAGGAGCTGGAAAGCGGCGGGATCAATAAAAGTGCCCTGCCACCCCGCCCAGCAGCCAGCCGGGGTCCGCTCCGCGGGCCCGGGGGGTTTCTGAGCAGGTCTGAAGAGACCGTGGGGGCGTTGAGGGGATCCGCCCGGCGCCCTTCCCTTGTCTTAACCCGGTTCTCATCCCGTGTGTATCCCCGTTGCCAACTCAGCTCCCATCCCCTGTGTATCCCGGCTCCCATCCCG